ACAATTAATTAAAAATGAAGCACATAAAAAAAATCCTTCAAAATGAAACACAGGATTGCCTACACTCAAAATCTGTCTAGGGTAAACGCAAGGTAAAGAGCACGTCCCTTTGAACATAGTAATAACGAAACGATAATAATACAATCAACTGAAAGAATACTAATTTAAAAAAAAAAAATTAAAAACAGTAATAAAAATTACAAGGATAACACAAAGGCAGTCAATAAGAGTCATGTGTAGTATAAGGAATGGTGAAATCTTAGGGCAAATATTGGTAACAGTAGCACTGGATTTCATTAGAAGACGACATGTGAAATGGTTTGACCATGTAACGTGGATGTCAGTAAACAGGGTACCACAGCAAGAAATGAGGTACAGACTAGGTGGGAGGAGAATGAGAGGTCGACCATGCAAACGATGGACAGAGGGGGTAAAAGAGTGTCCGGGAATCCCCATTTACAAATCACACGAACAGGCACTTCCTCGTAAATTATACTTCCCCTCGATACTGCATGGTACCAGAGGATCAAGATGACATAGAAAGCAGCAGTAGTATAGTACTAGTAGTAGTTATGATAGCAGTGGTAATAGAAATATTATTACCAATACGTTAATATTGACAATAATAGTAGTAAGACTATTACCTATAAATAAACAGATAACAAAAACCGGTTAGAATTTGAGAGCTTAAAGAAATACTTCTTTAGTGCCCCATACCAGTAAAACAACAAGTGTGGATAACAACGGACAAAAACTGTAAACGAAGTTTGGTACAGATTTTACCTGTTACCTATTTCATTTATTCATTATTTTCATTTTTAATATTAATATCACTATTGTTATAGCTAACTGAGTTATCGTTACTATTATTTCTATTACTACAGCTATACTTACTTCTATTACGCTTTGTGTTGGTAATGTTCCCCTTTTATTCGTAATATTTTTGAGGCTATTTTAGTTCCTTTATTGATTTGATTCCTTGTGATGATCTTTTCCTATTCTCATATTTTATTGTTACCGAAGTGACTCTTCTGTGTGAGGACTGGTGGCCCGGATTCTCTTGCCTATGTTTATTGCGGTGTTTGTTGATAAAGGCTTCTAACGAAACATGCTATTGTTTCTCTGTTTATGTGCCCCATACCCAATTTTTGTAAGCTTATAAGACACAGTTCGGTGTAGCCACATTGTGTTTATCACGTGCAGTAACATCCGAGCAGCGATATATTTTAAGAAAACATCGTTGCAGACAAATTTAATTTCGAGCACATTACATAGACGACAAACATTGATTGTGTTTTGATATTTTTGGCTGACTCTGCCCACATTGATTACTTAGCTGTGTAGGCGCTCGGTGGAAACATTCTTAATCTGGGAAATTTCCAGCAGTATGATTGATGGCTTGATGATCGTTTTTGTTTTTAAATGAGGTTATTATTGTTCGGAGTTATGATGAGAGTGCTTTTTTGCCTTTTTTTTTTTTTTTAATGTCACTGTGTTTGACAGAAAAAAAAAATTCACACAGTCAAGAACCAAATAGGATGTCACAGACATATTTTGTTAAGAAACATGTTTAAAGAGAACGATAACCAATATATTTATGATCATCATCATTATTATAATATATTTGATTGAAAGTGGACGAGACAGAAGGTTGTGGACAGACATGTCTACCAACGCCACACGGCATCGACTTTGAGAAGAAGAAGAACAAGAAAAAGCACGCAGACGGTCTCTACCCCCCCCCCCCTCTCCACAAAAACACACCTATCGCATAACAGTTTAACAAGAAGAGGAAGGGACAAAGACGAGGAAGCAACCAAAAGAGGAAGGGACGAATAAGAGGAAGGGAGAAAGAAGCGGACGGGACGAAAATGAGCAATGGACGAAGACGAGGAAGGGACCAAGAATGGGAAAGGACGAAGTAGAATTTGAGGCGAAGAGAAAAAAATGGATTTTGGGGTGTGGGTGGGGGAAGAGGGGGGAGGGGGGGGGGGAACCACTTAGCTGGCTTTCAAATTTTCTGGGAAAGTTGTCGAGAAGTTGGCGAAAATAGGCGAGGGGAAGGATGGGGGGGGGGGGGGGTGGGGTGATTTTCCGCGCCTTTGTTCTGACTTCAACCGGTTCTTATTTTGTTAAAAGTAAAATTCAAACTAAATTAACTAAATGGAAATAACTTTAGAAAACAAATTATCCTCAGAGACATGACAACCTGTGTACATTATTTTTCTTCAAACAGGAAACGCAACAGGTAGCGAAACAAGTTTCCCTATGATGTTTTAATGTCTGGAAGATGCCCAAGGGTAATAGTTTACGATTTATGTTACAAGGGTGGGGAGGCTGGGGGTAACAGCCCAAGACACAACAGATCAGCTGTTGGTGACTGGAGACCTAATGTCGTATTAGTATAGGAATTAGCTCACAATTCAGTTGTACCTAGTAATTTCCACGAACACTGTTTCCCAACAGGAGCATATAAACTTAGATGCAGAAATATTATCATAACTATGTGCCATGCCAGACGACGCAAGCGATTCTCCATTATTCTTTGTGTTTGGAGTGAAAGGGCAGAATGTTAGATAGTGCCCAATTCTTTTTCCTTCGAAAATAAAGTTTGTTCGTTCTTCCGTTCGTAGTTTAGGACAGTTTATCAACCCATCATAACCTTTTTGTATTTTTAGAGTTGTGTTGTCTGTCTTCATGAAAGTCATAAAGTCGACCAGGTCTAGCTTCCTAATCAATCAAAAGATACCGTTCCCACAATGAAGCTTGAATGCGCCTAATGAAGCTTGACTGCAGGTATTCTCAGCGAAAGATGGTAACAACAGAGATGAGATGTCTTAGGAGAGCTGCCGATGTGATAAGCAGAGATAAAATCGGGAATGAAGAAATTAGAAAAAGACTAGGACACACACCAGTCATATAATTCATTAAAGAACAACAAATGATATTGTTTGACTGTCCGACGGAAATGCACCGGTACCAGCTGCCACAGAGAGCCACGCTGAAAAAAATACAATTAGCACAGAGCAAGGGGAAGACCACGCAAGACATGGAGCGACACCATTAGGAGCAACCTAACAGAAATGAACACCAGCTTGTACAATGCATTGGAAAAAGAGCTTAAACGATCTTTACACTTCCCCCAACACCCCGATGAGATAAATGGTGGAAGAGAAGAAGAAGACGATTATTTTCTTATCACTTGCTCTCCTGCCTTCAAAAGTTGCCATAATTATCACCACCTGGTGACACAAATTAATAATGACAAGCTAAATATTGTCAAGGCCCTCCAAAAGCGAGGTAGCAGTGCACAGCCACACATAGATCATCCCTGTGTAAAGAATAATGGTGCATTGCGGGAGTGACCAGGGTATCGGACGGACACTTAACACTTAGACAAATTAAAGATGAACATACAGTCATACACCCACTGGTACCACTGCAGTTGCACACTTTTTGCTAGCTGCTGAAGATAGCGACTGAGCATTTACGGGAATGTTTCCAGTTCTGTGATGTCAGATGAACTCAGTTAAGCTTTATTATTTAAAGTTTGATCTCATTTAGTAACAGTAAACTTAGAATACGAGTCTTGGTTTCATATGACCTGATAAAGCGAAGGATCATTTTCTCCCACCTTCTGGAGTATTGCTAGAGCTATTTTTTCCACCCAGGATGACCCTTAATGGATGATGAGGTCGACATCTCGCCAGTCGACTTTATTTTCCAGTACTTCACCAGGTGCCCATTTTACGCTGGGTCGACATTGGATCATTTCTTAAGATAAAATGAGGCTCGATGAAGATTTGATCTGACATCTTCAGAGAGTAGAAGAGCGTTAAGGTACCATACTATTGTGGCTCCCAAATGACACGATAACATTTGTCGTATTCATTGTGTCCTATCCAGTTGTTTACTTTACACCATTTTTTTAAAACTATTTTTCTTTTTATTCGTCTAATTTTTCTTCACTTCATCTTTTACAGCTTCGGATGTCGTGGTCAATATAAAGTTTTGCGCCTTGTCTTCCTGAAAGTCTTAACCATAGACACACCATGCTGTTGTAGAGTTTCTCTAGTGTTATCCTTCCATCTTGTTCTTGGTCTGCTTTTTGCTCTTTGTCCTTCACCTCCGTTTGGTTGAGTTGTGTATGTTATGGCTTTGTAGGACATGCTTTCTACGTGAGCAAATCCAACAGATTTCCTGTCTTTGTTTATAATTTAGAATTGGCTCGGTGTCGACTTTTTTCTCTTATGACCACATTCCTGATTTTATCTTTTTTTAATTACCGCTAGAAAAAAAAATATAGCAGAAGGCATAGTACAGGGAAGGAGGCACAGGGTATAAATGACTCCTTGAGTATGAAAGTGCATGATCCGGGAAAGGTGGCGAGAGACCGAGTTTCTTTCAGGCATACCGTGATGAGAGCGACGTTCTGCAAAGGACCTGCTACATCATGATGATAATGAGTCACTGCTGCAGCTTTTCTCAGACATCTCATCATAGATAGTTACTAATTGTCTTTTCAGTTTTATTGTGAGTGACTATGTTCTGGCACTTGTAGCATTGACTAGACATGTTTATGCTTTGTATTAGGCGCTTCTTTGTGCTGCCTGGGATTGTCTTATGCTGTGCATTTTTGTTTGAGAGTAGAGGAACCTACAATTTTAGACAAATGAATCAGATCTGTTAAATGGATGCACCTGCAACACTCAGGTTTGGGAACAAGACTCGAGTCTGGAGGTGGATAAACAACCAGAACTTTCCGCCAGAGTTTACAGTCGGAGAACACAAAGAAGAAGAAAAAGAGATTAAAACGAATTAGTAAAAAATTCGATGATCTACCTTGTTGGCATAGACTGAGATTTTTTAAATCTCAGGATGGTTTGGTAAACATTTTGGCAGTAGCCTGAATGGCACACACAGGTCAATCGATCCGTGACTGTTAGACAATCGTGTAACAAGACACAAAACACATAAACTCACTTAGGCTGTCGATGAAC